CAGCTGGCTGAGGAACTCTGGGAGGTGAAGTCCACAAGTCTTCAAGTGGCCAAAGTTGGTGACCCCCGGTCTAGACTGCCACTGGATTTGGTTTTACTCCATTGTTTACAGATTATGGTAAATGTACAGTCACTTTTAAGACAATGCCTAGTGACTTCACGTCCATGTAATTTTCCTGGCAACAGTAGGGAAGTAATTATCCACTGCTTTCTTCTTTCTAGTCTAACCTGTATCTCTGGTATTATGGTATCTTATGGTTTTTCAATGAAACACAAACCAAATCAAACTTGTTTAGCTTCTGAACTCGCACAAGATTAACTGGGTGATACCACCAGCTGAAATGATGGTTGGTTGATTGAGTACATTTAGGTGTAATTGTACTGTACAGAGTTGGAGGCTTCTCTGCAAGTACTTTTGTTTACAGTAAGGTGACCATAACTGCCCTGCAAAATTCCAAAATGGTCACCAGATGGCAGCAAAGAGAGATATAAATCTCAATCCCTTTGGTAGCACCTAGCGGTAGTCTGGATTTATGCAACCCAGAAATGGTGGCTCGGTGATCACAAGGATTGTCTTTGCCACACCAGTTATTAAGACACCAGGCTACAAACTGGGGGATGATGAGTTCTAGTGCTGTCTTAGGCTAGATGACTTTGGGTCACTTACTGTCTCTCAGATCAACCACCCCACAGGATTATTGCTGTGGGAAAAAATTGTCTCATTTATGAAAAAATAATAAAGACGCTATAATCAATAAATTACACATAGTACTATAGCAATATTTTTTAAAAGAATTTGAACTTTTCCCAGATCAATGTAGATAAGTTTACGGAGAGAAAGCCTTATTGGCTCCAATAGGCTTTATTCCCAAACAACTACATGAATTAGTCCTTCTGTGTAGCCAACAAGAAGATGGTATTGTGTTGCAATTTGCTAAGGCTGCATAACCTGTACCAAAGTAGCACGCCAGCTATTGATTAGTCTCTTAACCGAAATAAATGTTGGCACATGTATGCTGAGCCATTCCCCTCTCCACACCCCCAGTTCAGTTTAATAGAAGAGTATTCTGAAATTAAAGTAAGCAAATTGGAAAATGGTAATATTCCCTTTGGCTATCTGATGAGAATGTTGTGTGTCTTTTCATATCATCAGTCTTACAGGTAACCCCGCAGTGAACTCCAAACTGAATCCTCCTCTTTAGAAATTTTTGGCAGGTTGAGTCCTGGTGCCAGGTACCTGGAATTCATTTAATTTATGATCTGAGTGATATTTTGGAGAAATGTGGTTATGATGTGCATATGTGATCTTTTTTTAAAAAAATCATATTTCAGCATTTTCCTTGCCAATCGAAGTTTCTGATCAGAAAGGGAAAGGCAGTCATTAATCAGCATTATTAGACTAAATCATAAACCCATGTTTTGCTTATTACAGATGATTTTTAAAAAGGCAAGAAGCTTGAGGTGTTTGTTTTACACTACGGATAAATATTAAGGATTACCAGCTGGCTTCTTGGGAGTCTAGAAATGAGAGCAAACGTGATTGAGATAAACAAAATTATGTTGTGCTGTGGATAAAATGGGCAAGGAGAAGCTATTTTTTCTCTTTCCAAAAATACTAGAACCAGAGGTCACCCTAATGAAATTGAATCTTGAAAGAATCGGAACAGGCAAAAGAATTATTTCTTGTACAACACATAATTCAGCTTTGCAATTTTCTACCCTGAGATGCTGTGTTGGCTGCCAGCTGGATTGGCTTAAAAAAAAAAGTTAGATCAATTCATGAAAGTCATGGCAATCTATGGCTCATAGCCTTGACGGCAGTGGGATGACTTCTGAAAGCCAGCTTCTGGGAGACTTGTGGGTTTTCTTGTGCAGTTGGTTGGCCACTATGACAACAAACTCCTGCACTAAATGGGTCAATAGTCCAATCCAGGGGTGAAATGCTCCCGGTTCGGATCAGATCACCTGATCCGGTAGCGATGGTGGCGGGTAGTTCGGAGAACTTGTAGCAAAAATCCCTGCGCCCCCCACCCCCCAAGCCCAGCTGAGCCACGCGATCATCAGAGGCTGTTTTTTTTTTACTTTTAAAAGCATTTTTTCTACAACCTCTTCGGCCAAAAAAATGCTTTTAAAAGTAAAAAAAAAAAAGCCTCTGATGATTACGTGGCTCAGCTGGGATCGTCAGAGGCTTTTAAAAGCATCTTTTCTATAACCTCTTCGGCAGAAGAGGGTGTAGAAAAAAAAAACCTTTAAAAGCTTCTGGCTATCTCAGCTGAGTTGCCTGATCGTCAGAGACTTCTTAAACCATTTTTTTCTGCAACCTCTTAAGGTTGTAGAAAAAATGCTTTTCAAAGTAAAAAAAAAAAGTTGGCCACGCCCATCCACATTACCCCCCCCCAAGCCACGCCCACAGAACTGGTAGTAACAAATTTTAGATTTCACCCCTGGTCCAATCCATCAACATAATTCTTACATTCCAGGATGGTATTCACTTACTTTCCCTACCAGTTTGCAAATGTGAGACACATGTCCATGTGTGCGCCTGGGCTTCTGCGCATGAGCTTTGCTGGGGCACGCGCCTTCCACACATGCGCCCGGCCTCAAAAACCTGCCTAAATAGAATAGCATAGAGCCGGGGCGGGTAGGCAGGCCCACCCACAATTTCTGCTGCGGGTTCGAACCGGTTGAATACCAGCTCTGCTTACACTCTTACGTACTTGTCTGTTTTCATAGGGCCATGTGGGGGCTATATTAATCCTGTCTTTCCCAATCCTACAGGTGTGTGAGGTTTCAAGTGTCAGAATCTTACACATGGGGATCAGGGATCAACAAATCTATAAGCCAGATCAGTAAGTTTGTTGCTTATCTGTTGCATGAGTCAGGATGTTTTATCTTCAAAAGTAACTAGCTGGACAAGAGCTACAGGAGATGTAATTTCATTTAGAGGCTTGATTGTGGAAGTTTGTGAAATCTTCAAGATTGTGATACAAAGAAATTAAGATGAAGCAAATTGGCTCGGCCATTACATTATTTAAGTACTGAAGGAAGATTATACATAAGTCTCTTTCTGCATTTGTTAAATCTTTACTAGTCACTCAGCTTTTAATAGCAACAAAAATGAGAGGGAGAGAGTGATCAAATATATATTTGCAGGTAATGTCTTTCAAAAGGCATCGAGGTTCATTCAATTGAAATCCAGAAAGTGAGTTCCCAAATAATAATATTTTTAATGCTATTATTTTTTCCTTGCTCTTAAAAGGCATTTCTAAGATTTGACTAGTTTGTACAGTACTCATGCAAAATTAAAACTCGCAAAGTATAATTAAGCTTTGCATGGAAAGCATCCCTAAACATGAGTTATTTTATTCTGTGTTACAACTGAGCCATCTACTGTCCATTTTCCTTGTTGCTGTTTTTAATGCTGATGTTCAGAGATGATTAAGATGATAAATCTTAAAACAGATGATAATGTTCAGGTTTCGGAATCTCTCTTTTAGACATGGCTTGGGTACGCACAGTTTAATAAGCATAATTTGTTTAGTCATTTTTTTAAGCTAAGCACAATTGGTTGGATTTACGTGTGCCATGGTTACATATCTACCCATGTACTCCCAATCTCTTGAACTAAAGCTTTCTTAGGCCATTCTGTGAGGGAATTCTGGCAGATGTTGCCCAAAAGCATCTTGAGTGTGCCCTAAAAAACATCTAAAAACGTATAGGGCAACTTCATATGAATATGTAATACCAAAACATGTCAAATCCTGCACTGTGGGTGTGTTTCACATGGCCTGTGGAGGCAGCTAAGTAGCTTCGCAATAATACAGATGTATATTACTGGAGAGGGAACATCAGCTGATTAGAAAATGCCAGCTCCTGAGTAATTAAGGAACAAGTAAGAAATAACTGTCAAACAGATTAAAACACAAAGATGCAGATGGTCCCTGAGTTGTAATTTGAGGTTGCATGCTCAAAAGTGGGTGGAGCCAGGAAATGAATTACATTTAATTAAATTTATGCTTGATTAAGATTTGTTTGACTGAAGGTATTTTATGTGATTACTTCTTATGCATTTAACATGTTCACTTGTCTACAGTTCTGTAAAAACTGTTGGGGGAGCCCCATAAGTAGGTCATCCGGTTTGTTTTTTAAAAACCTGATTTGTGATTCGTAACCAAACCCTAATCAGTCCAGGTTCTGTAACCAGATTAAGTACTCAGACACTTTTGAAAAACTTAAATGAAAGCTTTTCAGAAGTACAGGTAGTCCTCGACGTACGACCACAATTGAGCCCAAAATTTCTGTTGTTAAGTGAGACATTTGTTAGGTGAGTTTTGCCCCATTTCATGACCTTTCTTGCAATAGTTGTTAAGTGAATCACTGCAGTTGTTAAGTGAATCTGACTTTGCTTGTCAGAAGGTCGCAAAAGCTGACTCTGGGACACTGCAACTACCAAAATTGTGGACCAGCTGCCAAGCATCTGAATTCTGATCATGTGATCATGGGTATGCCCGCAATTGTCGTAAATATGAAAAATGGTCACAAGTCACTTTTTTCAGTGCTGCTGTAACTTTGAACGGTCGCTAAATGAACTGTTGTAAGTCGACGACTACCTGTATAGTATTGGAGGGTAGAGTTTGGTGTAGTAGTCAAGGCATTTGGCTAGAAATGGAGGCCTTGAGTTCTAGCCCTGCTTTGGGTGCAATGCCTCTAGCCTTAGGAAAAAGGCAAGGTGTATGGCAGTAAGGAAGACCATTGTTACTTTGAGTTTAGTGATATGTTTTGATTTATCCCTCAGATTGAGAAAAGTCTAGAAGTTTGGAGCTCATTCTGACGTAACCTGCTTGGTTGTTTTATTCTTTCTTTACTGAATAAAGGAGAAGGGAGATGAATGTTGGGCACTGGGGAAATGAATCATTATTATGGAATTCCTGGCAGCTTGTAAGAGAGTTTGGTATCATCTTGCTTGATAAAGTTTGCTTTTTGTGTTATGCTTTTACTTAATAATAACAAAATTCCTTTATTTACTGATATGCTTATTGTCTCTGGATCCAAAAGGAACAATGGTCTAGGCACTTGTTCACTGCCGTGACACTTGGCAAAACACAAGGACAAACCACTTCCGAAACTGCTGCCAAGTAAACCACAGGCACTGGCACAAAGGCACACATTTTCTTCCGACAGGAAAGCTACTCTTTCTCCTGGGCACTGGCTGTTCAAAGATCTGCAGAAACATTTTCCATCCTGATATCCTCCAGCTGTGTTGGGACATACATTTCCAGCAACCCCAACTGGTGTGTCATTCTATGTTTCATCCTTGATGAAGGAATTGGGAGTTAAAGTCTATCAGGATCAGAGTGGAATATTCTGCTAAATAACCCAAGGCCACCTCCATCATAGCTGTGACAATTCTTTCAATCACAAAGTTGCCTCCATACAGAACAGCTATTATATATGTACCTTGTTTCCCCTAAAATAAGACTGGGCCTTATATTAAATTTTGCTCCAAAAGATGCATTATTGCTTATTTTCTGGTTACGTCTTATTTTGGGGGAAATACAGTACTAACCGCCTCCGTCTGCTGACAATCTTAACTGGGACTTATTTTTGGGGTAGGGCTTATATTACGAGAATCCTGAAAAATCATGCTAGGGCTTATTTTCTTGTTGGGTCTTATTTTTGGGGAAACAGGGTATATAATACATATTATACACATATATACTTTTCTCTTCAATTTCCCCCTATGCCTGAAGAGAAAAGTTTTCAATCAGTGTGGGCTAGCTGCTCTAACATATGCTGGTGAAGTATGGACACTAACCTCACAATTGACACAAAAGCTACGAATGGTGCAAAGAGCCATGAAAAGATACATGCTCGGCATTACAAGACAAGATAGAAAGACCTGCACATGGACTAGAGAACAAATGAAAGTGTACAATATCATCAAGAGAGTAAAAGAATTGAAGTGGAAATGGGCTGGTCACATAGCGAGAACTGATGGCAGGTAGACCAAGGCAGTCATAGAATGGATCCCCACTTGATAAAAGTGTCCACGAAAGAGACCTAAAACAAGAGGGATTGACAACATCAGCAAGTATTGCGGGCCCAACTGACAAAAGAAAGCTCAGGACGGTATTGGTTGGAAACATGTAGACGAGGCCTTCAACCTACAGTGGATAGACAATGGCTAAAATGATGATGATACATATAGTAAAAGTGGAGAGGATTTCTCAGTGACCCCTGTGCAAATGCCTACAAATGTATGAGGTAGGAATGGGACAACTTGCCACAGCCAACTTGCTGAGGCCAACTCACCATGGCCAAGTCGCAAAAGCCAACTCATCACGGCCAACTCGCTGTGGGACAACTTGCCACAGCCAACTCGCCATGGGAAAACTCACCGTGGGACAATTTCAACAATTCTATTTAATTATTTACAATAAATAAAAAATATTTTAATTTTTGCCATTTACATTTTATTCTGTCTCTCCTTTCGCATCCTTTCTTTACTGATTCTATTCCACCAATTCTTTGCTATTAGTGTAACTCTTGTCCTGCAGCAAGTTGTCCTGCAACAAGTTGGCCGTGGCAAGTTAGCCATGATGAGTTGGCCGTGGCGAATTGTCATAGACCCACTGTAGAACAGTCAACCATATTGTCCTTGGTTGCACATTTCAAAAATAAAGCTGCATCAGAGATGTGATTACAATAATAATTAATGATCCTCAAATAAATATGTGGTAATCCAAACTTAGAGCCTATATGTATGAGAAGATCAGACCCTTCAAGCAATGGGTTTCTTGCAATCTCCTTAAAGCCACATAAGTGATTATAACTTTAAGATAAGGCCACTTTCTGAGAAGGCAAATTGACTAAATCATTTCCAGTTTTCAGCTGAGTACTTGTAACAGATTCTGGCAGCCTCTTTAAACCTGGAGATACATTTTTTTTTTTTTACCTTGCCTGGTAAAGAGCTACAGAAGCTGTAGCCAAGTTATCAAAATCATAACTGGACAGGGCAGGATTGAAATATTTGGCCCAATATTTTTCTGGCAATGGGGAACACTGAACAGGTTTCCATTTTGTCTTTAAAACTCACAAAAGAAAAATCAATCCAATTTGGAGGGGGTGCAGGAGGTAGGTTTTTTTTAAGACATCATCTTTCAAGGTTATTTCCTCAAGGTTTAAAGCATCCTCCAAACTTCCTCCAAACTATAACAATACTAAAAAAGGACCATGATGTTCAAGTCTACTCATTTGGAAAGTATTGGGCAGGTAGGCTACCCATCCTGAAACTATCATCAAATTTTAAAGTTGTTTTATAAAATTAACTTACCCTGTGCTAATGACATCTATTTGAACCCGGTTGTTTGAGGTACTTCAAGTATCCAGTCACAATTGGTGCTGAACCTTGTGAGTTTTTAGCACTAGGTTGTTTGGCTAAATTTGTGCAGTTTTATTTTTTATTCCATGCTTCAGTTGTTGCTCTGTGCTATCATATTTTAGATTAATATGTTAATTTAAACATCTGACATCTATATGCTTAATATGGCATTTAATGAAGCTTATTAGGTTGTGTCATTCATATTATTATTAATCCACCTTTTATATTTTAACATAAATTATTTTAAATGCTGGGATTGCTTTTTAACAATAAATCTGTGTGCTGAATTTGAACAAATTAAATATTTAATGATGAAAATTCACTGCCCTTTTAGAGCATGCTCAGGACTTTACACGAGTTGTTTGAAGACAAAGGCAATTTTTGGCAAAGAGAGGGAGTGGATTAATAGATAAATATCATAATTGATTTTTCTTCAAGATAATCCCAAAGTAAGGTATAATTAATTTTCAAACCAAATCACAAAAATTATAATATGTAAAAGTATTTAAAACAAAAATAATAATGTAGGAAAAACTGTTAACAAGTTGACATATTTTGACACCCACCCCCCTCCTCCAGTCATCTAATCTTCCTGCTGGCTTTCTGGGAGCTGAAGTCACTTATTTTAGTTGTCCAGTTTGAAAAACACTTGCCACCTAGCAAGGCATAGTTACACTGGTTTTACTTAGATGCATGAAATCAAGAAGAAAGGAAGGGCCGGATTCAACACACCATTCTATATATGTGGGAACTTCTGCTCCTCAAGGGGTCTATCAAAGACAACACTTTTTGAAGTATGTCCTAAAGCCATCCTTTATATGAATCAGCAAGAGGAGGGAAAGGGCCAGGAAACAAGACCCATGAAAAAAGGTGTTTCCTCTTGGTCCCACAACCCTAAACATTTAAGACATTTTAGGATGATCCTTCAAGTTCTGGAAGATAACCATTTTTCTTCATTTAAGCTATTAACAGAGCTCAGGTATGTAAATCATGTTCCTCATTCCCTTACTTCCTAAGAGATGTGTTCACATTGGCACTAACTGATCATTGTTAGAGGAGCAGCTGTGTCTTAGGAGGGGTCATGGAGCATGTCCCACCAGTTCATTATCAGGTACAACCCTCAATCAAGATAACATGGTTTGATAGCAAAAAGTTCTATCAATTCGGCAAAACACTGAGTTATTTTACAAATTTCTAATCCACAAAAGTTCCCAATGCCCTAACCAAAATCATTTTCTCATCTTCCTGGTGTAAAGACTGTGATTCCTTCTGCCAAGCCAAAATGTGTGTTGCTATTGGCAGGGGACAACTGAAGGATTTATTATCCTTGAATTTGCAGAGCCGGGAAAACCATTATGTTGTCTTTCACTTAATGTTAGGTGTAACCTTGTATCAGCATTGTTTTATATTGTGATCTGTTTAAAGCAGGTGTGTCAAACATGGGTCACACGTGACCCCAGACAGCTAGTAATGCAGCTCCATAAGATGGTAAACTTTTAACATCATTTATACATACATATACATACATATGTATATTGTATAAATGTTTTACGCACACACTATTATATATTTTATATGTGGCCCAAACCAATTCCTCTTCACTCAATGGAGCCTGGCCAGGCAAGCCAAAAGGTTGGACATACCTGGCTTGGAGATTGACCTAAAACACTTTAAGTCTCCTGATTAAAACAACGACTTAATTCTTGATTTTTACAGCTGCCGTCTGATTGAAAAGAATCCATTTGTTTCATTTTAGTTGGTCTGAATATAAGTATGGAACATTCACAGACTGTGGATTTTGTTTTTTCACTAAATCCAGTGTAAATGACTAGCTTTCTTTTGGCATTTCATAGTATGGTCATGTTGGCAGGAATTGAGATCTGAAGGCTAATTTGCAAAGTAACATTGAAGACAAGTCAAGAAACTGCCAAAGAGCCATCAGTAAACAGCCCAATCAAAGAATCTCTAAGACCCCCCCCTCCCACACACACACAGACATGCAAGTCACCAGAATATAAACAGACAGCAAACAGCACTCCTTACTACTGTAGCCCTGATGATGTCACCTACTTTGGGTAATGAAACATCTGCAAGAAAACAAGCAAGCTCAGAGACCACCAAGGACCCCACATGTCAACCCTGAGCTACAAATATTCTCCTTTATTGGTACAAGTCCTAGAGTTTACCTCCTATGGTTTAGCTTTGTAAAGTTGCAGCAAACTGTGGAATTCAATACCCAGTCTTGTGACCTGCTCAGAGGACTGGTCAAACCAGAATCCTGAGAGTAACACCTTCCATTATGCAAGAGTTATAGAATGTGCAGTTAAGTAAATTATTACTTCATAAAGCTGATGGGAATGTGTCATGGCTTTCAAAGATTTGTTGACTTTCTGATGAGAAATTATTGAAAGACCTACAACACCTTCACAGAAAATGACAATTATAATGTATTGTAATTTTATCAGGGTAGCAAAGTATCTCAATAATAGATAGTTATTGAAAGAGGACATTGAGAATTCGAATTCTCATGAGGACTAAGCTGAATCAAGGGAAAGATGTTCATATTTTACAAAATGTATTATTTCAACAATATTTTTGGAGAGAAAATCTGCTAAATTGGGCTAGGCAGCATCCAAGATTCAGATGATGCTGAAGCACTACTTTCCTTCTGGTTTGATTTTGTTATCACAAATCCAAATTTGTTTGGCTAAGAGATTCAGATAATCCCTTGTGGCATATATGGCTGCACAAGCGAAAAGGGATGTGATTCCCCCAAATATGCACCACACTTCTTCTGAAGTTTGCAATCAGAATAGCACTGAACTCATACAAGCAAAGATTGCAAGATTTTTTATTCAAATTTATATAGCTGCCCATCTCTCCCCTAAGGGAGCCCTTAAGCGGGAAACAACAATAAAGAAAACAGCCAAACTAAACAGGTAAAAATCTGAAAAGTCACAGTGATAAATAGCATAAAAATACTAACCCTGGGCAAAGGAAACAATATTGCAATATTGCAAGGGAGCAATATTGCTCCCTCAGCAATAGAACCATTGGGTCAGATCTCCAATCCCTTGGGAGCCCCAGACCTGGCAGCATATCCAGGTCTTCAGGGCCTTATGAAAAATCAAAAAGGATTGGGCCAACCTAATTTCAGGGGGAAGGATATTCCATAAAGGGGAGTTACAGCAGAAAAGACAAGTTTCCTGGGACCTACCAGATTTAGATCTGTAGCTGATGGTACCTGCAGCATGTCTTCTTCTACAAAATCTAATGCGGTGGGTTGATGTAACCAGAGAGAGATGGTCCCTCTGATAATCCAGGCCCATGCCAAAAAGGACTTTAAAGGCTAAATCTAGCTACTTGATTTGGACCCAGAATCAAACTGGCAACTAATGCAACTCAAAGGACAAAGGTGCAACATGCACTGCCCTAGGAGGCAACAGAACTCTCTGCAAAGTCACCTCAGAGCAAAATGGGTGGCAAACAAATTCAATAAATAATAATTCTGATCAGTTTAAACTTCTGGATACTCCTCAGGAACAGCCCCATGTAGAGCGCACTGCAAATAGTCCAATCTGGATGTGACTAGGGTAAGAGTGACTGTAAACAGAGCCTGCCCATCCAGAAACCAACACAACTGCCACATTAGACAAAACAGGGCAAAGGCCTTCCTAGCCACAACTCCCAGATTGTATATTGAGCCTGTCCGGGTAGTGCAACCTCATCCAGCACCAAAGATGGCATAGATCTTGAATCAATAAACCCTGAGAACCAAAGCCACTCAGTTTTGGCAAGGGTATATAGCTGAAACCTTGTTTCCCATCCAGACCCTCACAGCCTCCAGGCACCAGGATAAGACATTCCTGACATTGCTTAATTGATGATACCTCACTCAGCGGCCTCATTTAGATGTTGAAAAGGAGAGGAGTCAGCATTGGTACTATGACACTCCACACTGTAAGGGCTGAGGGTGAGAGCTCTTCTCACCAATTCTCACTGACTGAAATCAGCCCTGAAGGAAGGAGGTGAATCCACACAACCCTGTGCCACCACCTCTAACTTTCTGAGCCAATCCAGATGGTTGGTATAGTAATGGCATCAAAAGACACCAGGAGGTCAAATAGCTCAAGGATGGACGCACTATCCCCATCCTGATCAAGTTAGAGGTCATACAAAATCATGACTAGTACCATTTCGGTCCCATGTCTGAGTGTGAATCCTGACTGAAAAGGACCCAGGTAATGCTCTTCCTTTAAGCCTCTCTGTAGCCATTGTAACCACCTTCATACTACTTCCACAAAAAAGGAGGTGGGGTAATGCACAAAAACTATCCAATATAGTGGAATGGCTTCTCAAGAAGGGGACAAACCATGGCCTCTTTAACAGGTAAAAGGATAACTCTCGCCAGAACCTACATGACCAACCCTCCTGCTCCCCCCTCCTCCAAGTTGGCAAAAAGGACATGGATCCAAGGAACAGGTGGTGGAGCTTTTAGTCCTGAGGACCCTGTCAACTCCTTCAAGCCCAACAGGTTGAAACCATTCCCAGATAACTGGGGAAGACTACACCGAGGCATCTTCTATGGACTTGCGACAAGATGCGCTCCAACTGGAAACAAATCCCATCGACTTTATCTGACAGATGCTTTGATTCTTCCACACCCTTCTGTAAGAGGAACCCCACGTTCCCCATCCCTTACCTAAGAGGGCCCGCGTCACGAGAAACAGGGCTGTGGAGGGGCAGTCTGTGGCTGTAATATAGGTGAAGTACTGGTGTTTCACCATCCTTGCCACCATGAAGTAGGCCTTAAAAGCGGCCATGTTTAGTTCAGCTTGTCTTTTGCTGAGTGCTACCAATATTCTGGATATCTCTTCATCCATTTCATGTCCTTAGAGAGAGGTTGCATGGTCTCCCCTTGATTCCAAGTGGCAACAAAGCATCAGATGGACCATTTAGAAGACCAACAGGGACAATCTCCAACTCCCTCTGAAATCGGGGCAAACCATTTAAAAAAAAAAACAGTTAAATTAAAAGTTAGAAGTTCCTGAAACTCCCCCTTTTTTCACTGTCAATGTTTGCCCATGGAAATCTGATTCAGCTATAATTCTCAGTGATCCTGTTGGAAATCATATCCTCCAGACATTCAATGAAGTTTTTTTAAAAAACTATCTACCAGTACATGTTGCAAATGTGCACCAGTAAAAAGCTAAACGTAATGGTTTGACAGGGATCATCCCTAGGCAGACACAAGCAATATTTCAATTAAGAAACCCATAGCTAGCATTTCCACCCACACTGACATTCCTCCCATTATAGTTATATATGCTATATTATGGATACATTTCATTTACCAACTTGATTTAAAATGAATAAATACATGCTGTGCATATATAATTTTGTATTATCATTGAATCACAAAACCATCTTAAACTACAAAGATAAAGGGATTTTGTTTCTGCTGCCCTTGTGCTAAACATATTTATTTAGAAATAAATTAGCTATTTTATTGCAGAAAAAGATAATTTTAAACTGAAATTAAACATATGAGTATCTATACTCATGTACCTGCGTAGAACACCATTTGAGACTAGAGAAAACTTGGCTTTCTAAACTGATTGGAAATCACTACCCTACTTTACACCAAGGAATAACTACTACTACTAGCATCACTACACATAATAAATCAATCACCTGTTTTTTGGGGTAAAGAGCCCAGAGGGTGACATTAAAAGATTTACACTCCATACAAGAAGATCATAAATAGTATCAAATATTTTACAAATACCCCCGTGTGAATTGAATCCTATATTTATTTCGAGTGGGATGTCCTGAATTAAAAAAAGGTTGGGGAATCTCAGATATATCTTCTTAGTCTGCAAAGCAGAATTTGGATGAAATCCCACATCACATTCTAACCTGCTAGCTATATAGGTAGTCCTCGACCTACGACCACAATGGAGCCCAGAATTTAGGTTGCTAAGTGATAAACTTGTTAAGTGAGTTTTGTCCCATTTTATGACTTTTCTTGCCACATTTGTTAAGTGAATCACAGCAGTTATTAAATTAGTAGCAACAGCAATAGCACTTAATCTTATATACTGCTTCACAGTGTTTTACAGCCCTCTCTAAGCAGTTTGCAATTTCAGCATATTGCCCCCCAACAATCTGGGTCCTCATTTTACTGACCTAGGAAGGATGGAAGCCTGAGTCAACCTTGAGCTGGTTAGGATCGAACTCCTGGCAGTCAACAGTGAATTATCCTAAAATACTGAATGAATTTGGCTTTCCCATTGACTTTGCTTGCCAGAAGGTTGCAAAAGATGATTGATTGATATGCAGATCCCGGGAATCTGCATATGAACCAGTTGTCAGGCATCTGAATGTAAATCACCTGGCAATAGGGATACTGCAATGGTCATAAGTGTGAAAAATCACCAGAAGTCACTTTTTTCAGTGCCGTTGTAACTTCGAACATTCACTATAGGAACTGTTGTTAAGGATACCTGCACTCTTGTTGAATTGGCCCTTCACTTTTACCTGCCTTTAGCTGCTACCTCCTCTGTGGCTTCTCACACTTACTTTTTTCACTTTCACCGTTAGTCACACCTGCCTGCTTCTGTTTGCTCATCTACCTGCCTTTTACAGAGTCTTAAAAGTTTACTTTTGTACAACTTTAATAAGATACGGTGCCTTTACTTTGGAAGGTATCCTATTGAAACCGAAGGTGAAATTCTTCCTGCTCTTTCTCCTCCTGCTCCTTCTTCATCCAATGCAGGTAAGTCCTCGACTTACAACCGTTCATTTAGTGACCGTTCAAAGTTATAGCCGCACTGAAAAAAGCGACCTATGAGTTATGACCGTTTTCCAGTTACAACCTTTGTAGCATCCCCATGATCATGTGATCAAAATTCAGACGCTTAGCAACTGCTTCATACTTATGACCATAGCTACGTCCCATGATCACGTGATCCCCTTTTGCAACCTTTTGACAAGCAAAGTCCATGGAGGGGAAGCCCGATTCACTTAACCACCGCTTTTCTAATTTATCAACCGCAGTGAATTCACTTAACAACGGCGTCCAGAAAGGTGGTAAAACGGCGCAAAGCCTCCCTATAACAAAACGCCTCACTTCCCGAACAGGAATTTTGGGCTTCAATTTCTGGTCGTTAAGCCGAGGACTACCTGTAGGTAGGTGTTCGTGAGCCTTCTGCGCATACTTGTGCAAGGCCAGGAAACATTTCATGAGGTATTTATTTACACTGCTTTTTTTACCTCAGTCACGTAACCGCCTCTCTCGCCTCCGCGGTGCCGAGGCGAAAAAAGAGAGAGAGCGAGAGAGAGAGAGAGAGAGAGAAAGGGGCGGGGCTAGCGCCTCATACGAGGGGGCGTGGCCCGGCTGCCGCGCGACAGGCCGAACGGCCGAACGCCAGAAGCGGGTGGTTGCTTAGCAGAGGCAGGCGCGCGCGCGCGTGTGTGTGTGTGTGAGAGAGATTGTGCGCGCGCAGGCAACCGTCTCTTCGCGCTCGCGCTCGCTCCGGCTTTTTTTTTTTCTCCCTTTCTTTCCCCCCCCCTCGCAGGGGAGGGAGGGAAGGAGGGAAGGGGGAAGGTCTCACCGGGGTAGGGTCGTCGCTGGAGGGCCCCCCCCTCCCCAAACCTCCAAATTTGGGGGCAGGCGGAGGGAGGAAAGGCGAGTGGCTTCGGCTGTCCCGCCTTCTGAGAGGCCTTTTTTGAGGGGCGCTTCTTGTAGAAAGAGAGCATGAGGAGGAGGTGCTGGGGGGACGGACAGGACGCTCGCGTTTCGTAGCTGTGGGGTTTTATGAAGGGTGTGTGTGTGTGTGTGTGGGGAGAAGGTAGATGAACTTTACCTTGGGGGTGTGGGAGTGAGGTGTGTGTGTTTGTGTGAGGAGGAATCCTGCCTGCCTGCTTGCCCGCCCGGAGAAGCTGCTCAGAGGGTCAATTTTCTCGGAGACCCTCCCCCCTCAAACTTCTCCCGAAGTGGGAAAAAAAAAAGCCACTTCTTCTTCGTTTTCCCATCCTAATTTTCGGGGAGGAAAAAAAAAAAAAGATTGGAAGATTGGATTGGTTTTCGATATTCTGGACTGGAGCGGCTCCCTCGTAAATCCCTGCGATTAAAAAGAACTGTGTGGAAGGGAAAGGAAGGCTTTTTTTTGAATGGGAAAGGAAGGTGACATGGATTCGTTTAAAAATAAATAATTTTTTTCCCCCCTGAGCCTTCCCTGTGGGAAGCAGCCAGCCTTCCCCATTTCCTCGTGAAGGGATTAGGCCAAAAAAAAAAAAAAAAAAAAAGCACTCTTGGAGGAAAAACATTGAATGAAGAAGGATTTTTTTTCTCCTCCTCTGATTTGAGGGAAACCCCCCCCTCCTACTTGGACGTGAAAAACGGGAGAGGAGACAGACCTTCAGGACGCCTTCCAAAATGCTGCCTCTTAAGGCTTAGTCTGCAAAAAAAAAGAGGGAGAGACTGACTCCCAGGCTTGCCCTGTTTTTTTGCAGCAGAGAAGTGATTTCAGGTGCTCAGTTCCATAGGGAGGAAATAGGATTTTTTCTTCTTCATTGCCGGCAGGTTCTTTCCTAGGTGGCATCCGGGATATAAAAATGTACTAGAGGCCTAACCTTTGGAATAAAATCTGACATAACGCTTCAGAAGGGGTTGACACCCTTGCACATCTTCCGATTGCTTCCTTGTGCCCTGGCTGTTTGCTTTTCATGTCTTCCGAGATGTCGGAGCTCAGGAGGCGAGGAGGTGGTGGAGATCATGAAAGAGAAAGTGCGGGTGACAAGGTAAGTCTGACATGGAGCCTCTTCTACCTGTCTCCAGGTATGCAGCCGGACAGAAAGGTGGGAGTTCTCGGGGGTTTCTCATCCGGCTTCACAGCTTTTCTTCCTTGACATGTAATGTGGCTTCCCTTCATTTTTGAAAGAGGAGGGACCGATGCATATTTTTTCACCATCTCCTCTTTCTGTCAATTACAGCGTCACTTTTCAAGATATGCTTGAGTAATGTATTTAGGGGTGGTGTTTGTTTCCATTTCTTCCCTCTTAGGAAGTCCCCCCTCCCCCCCCGGTCTTCTGCATGTGACGAATTTTACGGAAGTGAATGTAGGATCATATCAGAGTCGTTATTTTTCATTTCCTTTGTTATCACTGCTTTAAAATGGGAACTGGGTAAGGTTAAAAATGTGGCTGTTCTGCTTTTCTCACTTCTGCGGTAAGAGGCCATTTCCTCTCTACCTGCAGTCTGCGCTCTATGTAGGAGGCTGCTCATATATCACTCCTCCCCCGTATTCAAGGTATTTGCTGACTTATAGGATGCAAATAGCATATTAATTTATGGACTTTGTATAGCCGAAAGAACTAAAACATAGATACTGCATTTTCTGCCCTTTATAAATATGTACATATTCAGCACTCAGTTCAAAGTCTAACATGACTGGAAACATAGCATTTTAAGAGTCTTATTCAAATGCCTGAGAACCTTTTGCATTGACTTTTGTGACTATTGAGAGGATGGATTGTAATCACTATGTAACACAATTTTTGTTACTGGCTTCTAAGTGTTATATTTAAATAGCTTATGTCTAAAACCTATGCAAAACGGCTATATTCATCACAAACTTTGATTTGTGATCACAGCCCACAAAAGTTTCATATTTACAAAACAGGCAATTTTTTATGTTTTTAAGCATTTAGAGAAGAATAATGCATACTTGGATGGCAAATACACAAAGACAGTCAAAACCACTCAAGGGTTCAGAAACAAGTAGATTTTCTAGAATTGCAGCTGTACTGCAAATGGCTTTCTCAAAGAGGCCTCCAAGCATAGTCCTCCCATCATGCTTTCATTATACTGTCTTTGGTAATGAGGAATCAAAATCCAGTATATCTTGATGAAAGCATTCGCCTTGCTCCTCTGAGTAAGCACCCATGTTCTCCTTGAATTTGTCAAGATAAGCATCAATAAGAATCTTGAAGGACATTCTGTATTCCATTTTGGCATAATTCTTTATGAGAGTCTGAACCACCTGCTCATAGTTTCAGCCCAAAAAGCCATGAACCACTACAACGAAATAGTTCCAAGCCACTTTCTGTTCAGCTTCTTGGCAAATTCGTCGCACTCTCTGATCTTCTTTATCTGTGGTCCAACGAAGATACCTGTTTTAACCTTTGCCTCTGACAGCTGTGGAAAGAGATCTTGGAGGTACTTGAAAGCTGCTGACTCCTGGTCTAGAGCTCATCTAGAGCTGTGACAACTTGATGTGCAGTGGTGGCATCAGCATCTTCCGAGGTTCTACCAGCGGTTCCCACATTATGTTGTTTTCCTACGGAGAACTTGGTCCACTGTGGCCAGTCCCTTTTGTGATAGTGTGCCTTAGTGTCCCGGCTTCCCAGAGGCAAAGAAAACAAGAAAACTTTGTGAAACTGCCTTGGAGGCCCATCAGGAATGACACAATTTTGAAGTCTCCAATGATCTCCAAGCCATAATCGTCATACTTCAAGGCCTTCAGCAACATCTTGACGCTGGTGTAGTCCTCTTTGAGATGCACAGAGTGAGCCATAGGGAGAGATGGGTACTTTTTCCTGTTATGAAGCAACAAGGCTTTGAGGCTCCTGGATGAATATGGCGGCCTTTACTTAGGTTGCAGGTGATTCCTATAGCCTCAAATAGACTGGCCACATTGTTGCAGAAGCACAGCCCATCTTGCCAACTGAAGAAGTTGGAAAAACACTTTTATCTGTGACTTGCACACTTTCATCCAACTAGTTCCACCCTTTGAGCCTAGATGTCAGAAGCTCAGCATGGGATTTGGTAAGACCAAGGTCTATGATCAGATTGTTGAGGACTTTCTGGTTGGGAAAGTACGGCTTTCTCTCCTCAGCCGCATCTGTGAAATTGTAATCTGTATCTGCAATACAGATTTGCTGTCTGACTTGTTTCTCACTTCTGAAAATGGCTGATCCCTCTCTGGAGGGGTGGGAATGGGGAGCTCAGGGCAGTGCAGTACTGGGGCGATGGGTGGAGGAATATCTGCATACATGATAGGAGGCGCGCTCTGCCAGTTCGATATTTGGAAGGATGCACTATGTAGAAGTAACAGTTACTTGAATGGTCCACCAAATTCTTGGAATAGCAAACTTCACAGCTCTCTTTTCTCCCTTGTATCAGCCTGTAAACATAGCAGAATTATATAACTTTAAAAAAAAAAAGATATTTCACACTACCTAATTTTGTGCAAGATATAGTTATAGGGCATAAAATATATATTGTAGTTTGTATTTTCCTAAAACATTGAAAATAGTGAAAAATTTCTTAATTGCAACTCTTTTAAACTAATAATTCACTGAAATTCTATCTAGTGAGCAGCAATTGTTCACCTTACCTTCAAGAGTTTAGTTGCAGTATTTGCAGTGAAATGAGGTACCCAAGGCTTGTCTTGATCCCCGACAAGCATTCCAAAGTTTGATTTGTAAGTCTCACACATCTTAACAGACACTTTTACAGAGTAATTTATCACTCTTGTTTTGATAAATTGTCCACACAAGTAGCAAACTGCATCTGCTGGATGCAAACAACTTCTTGATGCTATCTAAATCAAATATTGCTATTTACTGTTCTCTTACTCAGCAATTAGACAAATTAAAAATGTTGGTTAAAGGCACCTTTACTTTTATACTTCTATGGATACTACTGGATAGTCCCAGAAAGTTCTAGAAAATTTTAGCCACTTCTAGAAACTTTTGGACAGTTCCCACAGTTCCAGAATATTCTGGAGGTCTACTCAGCATTGAATATGAATTGAGAATGTTCACAACAACACATAAATTTCAAAATATTGTTCTGACCACAGAAGCAAGTTTTTGTGGAACAGTAACTATTTTCTATTTATTTGAGGCAAAAGGAATTGGGAAAAAACACTTTGTACCCAGGAACAAAAACTAAATTAAAATTTGTTATATAGTGATATTTGAATAGACATTTTTGTTGGAAGAAACATCCTTCTGGGTTCTGCTCCAAGTGGGGAAACAGACACTGGAAACATGGAGACTGCTTGGAAAGATGGTTTAATGGTGGACAGGATCACATGGCTTGAGTTCCTGAACAGAAAAGGGCAGATACAGTAAATCCTTGGGTTTTTATGCTCTCTCTGGCTCTGTATTTCTTGGGGCCCCGAAAGAGTATCCTGATTGGTTGTCAGACTCCCAGGGGGTGGGGGTCTTGCTGGCTGATGCAATCTTCCCAGGTGCCATGTGGTGAGCCTCATCTAGATGGGTTCCATTGTGTTAGTTTCTGTTGCTATTGTGTAGAGGGCTAATCCTATCTTTCGCAATTCCTACTATGGCTCTGCCTGAAGGAGGTAGATCTTTGTTATGTAGAATAGACTGGCCCAAGCCTTAATGGCCCATTGACAAAGGGTGGGGGCAGGAAGATGGGAGCTGCTTCAAAACATGCTTATCCCAGGGAAATATAATATTCTGCCTTTTTCATATTTCCTAAAATATTTCACTCTTCCAGGAGAGGGGTGGGTGCTAACTTCCTACAATCCCTACTTTTTTTTTTTTCAAAACGTGAGTTTTGAAACAAGTTCTTGGCAAAAGATTAAAATTGATCAGGTCAGGGAGGCTTGATGAGTGCTTTTAATTTTCTAATGCAAAGGGGAGGCATTGATAGAGGCAACAGAAAAGGATTCCTTCAGTGGCTTCTTGAAAGCTTTCAACCATGAAGGTCTAGCAGCCAGGAGAAAAGTTCTGGTAAGAATTTTACAGTATCCAATTTTCCATGCCAATTAATTTCAGACTTCAGATATTACTTTCTGTGAGCTTCCAGTCAGGTTTCAAGCAAACACATGTCCCAAAATTTTTCACAGCCATGATTTTCCTTTAAATTGCAGGCTGCCCATTTCCAAGGGTTGGTTACTGAACCTGCCCTAGCTCTTTATTGCATCCAGGATTTGCGAGTCCAAATTGAGGTTAGCCAGTGTACAATATCCATTCTTTTTTTTCTTTTTTTTTGGGTGTTACACATAATGAGCCCTGGGATTTCTACTCATGAGACCACCAGTGCAATATATCTTCCTTTACTGGGCAACTGGGCAGCATCATTTGTGAGTCACAGTCAGGGCTTGGGTTTTGGAGATCACTTTTTCTGCTATCTCTTCAAGTAAGGGAATTGCCTGAGGGGTATTGCTTCCTTCCCCATGGAATTAGCAGGGAGGTAAGATTACTTGGGCTTTTAGTGCTACAGAGCAAAAATCAATCTAGGAGAAGCTTTGTGTGGAGATAAGTGAAGGAAATAGTTTCAATCTAATTCTGAATAGTGTGTCTCTCTGTGTGTGCATGTGTATGCAGCTACTTTTACAATACAGGCAATACAAACATTTTGGACATATTTCTCCTCTCCACCAGACAGAAATCTTAAGGTGTACATAACTTGCTGTGGAAACCACTCCCAAATACAATTCTTCAATAAACTGATTACAATATAAATGAGACAAGAAAGAAAACCTTACAATGAATTTCCACCCTCCCCCATAGTCTTTCCAGCTGTCTTCTGGGAATTGAAAAGAGTCTTTTGGTTTTTACTTGTACATCTCAGGGTCTTTTCTTTCATGTCTGCTGGTAAAATGCTTGGTGGTAAGGCTGGTCAGTGAGGCTTGGAAAGGTCTGCTCCACTCTGGTTGCTGTGCTGACTTTCAGTGGAGGCTGGATTCAAACCCAATTCCTGGTTCAAACAGATGGAGGGTCTCCTTTGGAGGCAGCATCTGGATCCATGTGCTCTGCTTCCA